AACAACACAACACTGGGTAAGTGGTCAATGAATATTGACTATACAAAAAATGTTTTAAAAGATGAATAAATATATAAGCTATCCTAAATTTAAATGCCCCTTTGAATTTACCACCCTTTCCAAGTGATTCTTTTCTTTTCCAAAACATCCCACCAAACATGGAGATGTTCAAGAGGTTATTTTGGGACACTCTATTACCAATCAAAAATGGAGAAAAAGTTACATATATGTATTTTGTTGGACACCCAAAACTGATATAATGTTATGTCAATTATACCTCAATTTGAAGCAAATAAATTTCCATTTTGTCTGAGCCATTAAAAAAATGGGAGATAAAAGATAAAGTGAATCAGAAGTATAAAAAAAAAGGAAAGGTAGATGGGAAAAGTTTGTATTTTGGCTAGTGAGATAATAGTGAAAAGCTCTTAGAAATTTTTGTAACATTCAACCATGATTTTTATTGCATACAACCATGATTTTTTTCAGAGCTGGTAAAAAGGAAAAGTTGAGATAACACAGAATTTTAAAAATCAGAAAGAAAAAAAAAATCACTTGGTGAGTCTTTCATTTTCTCTAGATCAAGCTAGTAATGGGCTTAAGCTATTCAAAAACATCATTTAAAACTAAATCCACTCCCTTACTACCTTCATACTTTACCAAAAGAAAGAAAAACAGGAGTCAAATCTGAAAGTGAAAGTGACAGACACACTACAGTAGAGGATGCCACATAACCCCAGAAAGACACTATTATGAGGCTCAAAAATGAAAGGCATTGGTACATTTTGCTAGGCTTCATGACTCAAACCGTGCTCAAGGACGCTGGGTGGTCAACATGGCCTGATTCACAAAAGCAAGAAAGAGAAATCGCAATCTGTACATTTCCCCCCAAAAAGTTACAACCTATGTTTTTAAAAAACAGCAGGGAGAAAGGGAATTCATCTTTCTAAGGAAGTTTGCTACTTAGGCACAACCACAAATGAACTACAACTCTCCTGTCTCTTAGACTAAGGGTGATCTCAACACAAAAGGTGATTTGTGTAAAGCACTAGTGTGCTATTGAATTTCACTTGCTAAACTATACTTTTTAAAGTTTTTTAAAAGTATAGCACCGTTGAAATAAGCCAGGCAGAGATAAGTACCAAATGGTTTCACTCATTTGTGGAGTAGACAACTAAGCAAAACTGAAGAAACAAAACAACAGCAGACTCACAGACTCCAAGAAGGGACTAGCAGTTACAAAGCTGAGGGGAAGGCGGGGGTGGGTGGGGAGGGAGGGAGAAGGGATTAAAGGGCATTAAGATTAGCACGCATAATGTAGGGGAGTCACGGGGAAGGCAGTATAGCACAGAAAAGACAAGTAATGAGTCTATAGCTTCTTACTATGCTGATGGACAGTGACTGCAGTGGGGTGTGGGGGTGGGGCTCAATAATACGTGTGAATGGAATAACCACAATGTTGCTCATGTGAAACCTTTATAAGATTGTATTTCAATGACATCTTTAAAAAAAAAAGGTATGGCACTGTTTTCTTTTCCTGAGCACTATGTCACAGTTGTAAACATCAAGCTCACAAAGGCACTGCTAGTAAGTGTGAATAGTGCATGTTACTTATGCACACATATACACTTGGCCTGAATACAGAGGTAGTGGGTTATTTTTGTTTCCATTTCGAAAATGTACATGATTAAATTCATCCTAGAGTGCTGGTGGAAACTGAAAACATGGAATGAATTAGGAGTTGTTCAATTTTGTTTATTGTGATTGCTTAAAAAAACATAACCGAACCTCCATCCATAGGAGAAACTGAAGCTATGGGTTACCAACAGCAGAGGAAAGCTGGGGTGGCTGGGACAGGGCATGCAGAGGCTGAATGTATATTATGCAAAATCCATGATACAAACTGGGCTCTTCAGCCCTCTTCTCTACTCTGCTGCCAGAACCCAGAAGTCCTTTCTAGAGAAACCAAATGGCTCCAAAGTAAAGACCCCCAGTGAAATTTAGGAGATTGCAAAGGTCAGCTCTCCATCTGATGGCCCCTCAAATAACTGATAAACCCTGCCCATACAAAGATCTATGAAATTAGCTTTTAAGTACCTGATTCTTATTATGAATGGATGACCTCCCCAATTTCCTAAGAAAGCCTTCAGAATGAAAGACACAATCCAAAACATATAAACAGAAAACAAGAACACTGAAGAAACAGAAACAATGCAAGAAGCAGGAAAGCTATGAGAAAAAAAACCATAATTATCCTCAGGGATAATGAGAAGGCAATGAATCTATAAAATAAGAATAGAGTATTATGAAAAAAGAACAGAGAAAAAATCATAAAAATTAGTATAGCTAAAAAAATTTAACAGAACAGCTGGAGGATAACAAAAAGAATCAATATAATACAAATTAAGGAGCAACTGGAGAAGAAAGACTTTCTTAAATTAAAGGATCAATCTGGGAGGCCCAACATTCAAATAACAAGAAATTAAGAAGAAAGGATGAAGAAAATAGAGGAGAGAAAATTGTCAAGAAGGTAACACAAAAAATTTCCCAGAATTGAAACAGACAAGTCTATAAATAGAAAGACTCCACCAGGTCAAGTACCCATGGACATGACTTAATAAAAACATATCAAAAAATGTCAGGGGTAAAGAGAAGCTCCTAAAACAGGGTGTAAAAACAAGTCCCATATTTTAAAAATGGTATCAGAATTCTCACAAGAAAAATGTATGTAATAAGACAATGGAGCACTGCCTTTAAAATTTTGAGGGAAAATTATTTTTCATCTAGACTCCAAACTACCAATCTAAGGGTTACCAACAGCAGAGGAATGCTGGGGAGACATTTTTGAACCTGTAAAGCCTCAAAATCTTTACCTATCATGTATTTTTTCCTAGAAATTTTTTGGTGGTGGATACACTTCAGCAAAAAAGGGGCAGTAAATCAAGAAAAAATAAGTTATAAAATCCAATAAACAGGAGCTCCAACATAAGGCTAAAAAAATGGGTGATCCCAGGATGACCATCAAGCCACATCAAGAGCAACCATCTAGATGGCAGAAGATGAAGGACTGTGGAAGAAATATCCCCAAAGGACAAAAAGAAGAAAAGAAGAAGAAGAATTAACAGATTATATGATTTTTTTTTTTAGCACTTAGGTCTTTGGGTAATGATTGATAGGTATATAAAAAACTAAATAGATTTTAAAATCAAGCAATTATTGATTCCAGGAAAAATAAAGAAAAGGAAATAAATGATAGTTCTAGTAGACAGTTTCTAGTAGAAAGGAAATGATAGTTCACCTTGGGGTTCACCAATGAACATTTATAGTAGCACCCCCTCATCCATGGGTAATACATTCCAAGACCTCCAGTGGATGCCTGAAACTTCAGATAGTACCAAAATCTATATATACTCTGTTTTTTCCTATACATACACACCTACAATAGTTTAATTTATATATTAGGCACAATATGACATTAACAACATAACTAGTAATAAAATAGAATGATTATAAAAATACACCGAGATAAAAGTTATGTGAAAGTGGTCTCTCTCTCTCAGATATGTTATACCTTCTCCTGATGATGATGTGAGATGATAAAATGCCAACATGAGATGGAGTGAGGTGAATGACGTAGGCATTGTGAAACAACATTGGGCTACTGCTGACCTTCTGATGATAGGTCAGGAGGAGGATCATCTGCTTCCGGACTGTGGCTGGCTGACCAAGAGCAACTGAAACTTCAGGAAGCATACTGCAGTGAGGTGTGGGGGGGCTACTATATATCTATTATTTTATACAAAGTTGTATTAACCTCTACTAAGAGGAATGGAGAAGTAGGATATATAAGAAAAGTAAATCCTGCCATAAAAGGAATTCAAAAAATCATTTCTAAAATTGATAAAGAAAAAGTAATACAATATATTTTCAAATAGGAAGGTAAATAATCTTACAAATTTAAAATGAACCAAAGAAAGGAGAACTGGGAACTGGAATGACATGAAAAGGAAGCCCTACTTATTTACCCCACCAATGCTATTATATTAAAAGAGAGACCTCTTCAAAAGAGCTCCAGCAGTCTAAGCAGACCTTCTTTCAAGCCAGGTCACTCCCTCTACACCAAGTAGCGAAGGTAAGTCTCAAAGGATAGACCAGAGGCACTTCAGTAAAGAATTGGTGGAGTCTAAAGTAATGATATTATAATATATATGGAATTGGTACAAATAGCAGTATAATATTAACACATTACAAGGATATACTTCCTGAGATCTTGTGATAATTTCCAAACACTAAATGTAATAATGCATACTGGAAAACTACAATTCAGGGTCAAAGTTTCTGTGGCAACTATGGAATAAAGATACTTTATCTCTTGCCCTGGAATAAGTTCAAGCAGTATCATCCATTTCCCAACCTGTCCTGTTTGAAGATAACACAATAATTCAATGAAATATAACCACATTCAAATTTAGTCCATTTATGAAAGAATTCTCATCAGAGTAACTTTAATCAGAGGCCTGTGATTCTCACACTACAGAAACCAGGCACATGAAGAGAAAAGCAAGCACACTGGTTTAGCTTTAGATTACTAATAAACCCAAAGTTCCCAAGTCTCTCAGGAACCCCATAGCCTAGACAAAGCAAAAAAGGAATAACCAAAAGCTACACATTATAGAAAGTCCTAAGGTAAAATTCTTACACAACTGTTCATACTTGCTTCATCTTTCTCTTACAATTCAGGAGTCAGGCACACTTGAAAATGCACAGGGCTTCTCAAATTGCAAGGTTCCCTGAAGCTTTATAGGTTGCTTCATACTACCAATTCACTGATCAAAACCTAAATGTAATTAAAGAGACATTTATACTCCCTCAAAAAAATGACTTCACAAATGTGCTACTTTTAAGGGAAAAAAGTGGTTCCAAGTAACAATAAAAACCATACTTCAGGTATGGCAAACCTGTTCAAAGCACCTGTTTAAAGGGGGAAAAAAAATGATACAAACCAGAAGTGACTGCCTTTTATTTTTAAAAGTATTTACAGAAAACTGTTCAGGAACTCATCTTTTTTGGATAAAACAATAAAAAAATGGATTTATTTCCTATGAGTTCAAAAGCTTTGTTATAGTGTTCTCATTACAAACCTACCGGTTCAAAAAAAACTACCAGAAATACTCCCTACCAGTAGCACCTTGACCTTCAATGGTCTTATCACTATGCAAATTCTTACTATTAAAAAAAAAAAAACAAAATATCTGATTACACACTCAACATGAAAACTTACATTATCAAACATTTTTCTCAAATTAGACATATAAGCAGAAAAAGATTCCACTTAAAATAGTCTAATGACCTGTGTGCTATTTAAATTCACAAACTTTAAGTAGCATACAGTATATCTAAAGGCATATTAATATATATAGATTGCTTATATCCATTTTAAACATAATTAAAGATTTTGGTAAATACTAAATATTAACTCATTAAGAAAAGTTCTCACACAAACTTACAAGGCAAATATAAAGTAAAATAGGCCACATTATTCTAAGCTCACAGGCAACAAAACTAAAAATTTGCCTCATCTGTGTATTCACTAAGACATTCCAATATACAGACAAAATCAAAGCAATAAAGAATACTATTACAATTTTATGAAGATTAGACAGAATATCAATAAATGTAAAAAAAGATACAATGTATTATATGATGAGTTTGAATGCAAAAACCATATTTATTAAACATATGATTAACTTAAAGACACCAAACCAATTCGTTTTAAAGTGCTCCTCATCCAAGACCTTGGACAAACCTGTCACTTCAAAAGGAATTAAAAAAAAAAAAAAACAGTTCACTGGGCAAACACTAACAATAGGTATGGACAGGCACTACCAAAAAATGCTATTTTTCTTTAATTAAATAATGCCATTCTCAAGTGATGTGGTGCAGTCACCTTGGCAGAATTCCATTTTGTATAAATATTCATAAATAAAAAATGTCTCTAGAAAGTCTAAAGAGCTGCAAATATTAATACCTTGCAACAGCAGCTTAATGTCTATTTTAGGAAAAAAGCACTAAACTCCTCTTCCATTGAAAGTCATTTATTTCTCTGGTGTAAGTGAGCAAGGTCACTAAAACATTAACCTCTTTTCTAGAACAATGTAGGTAACAATGTATACACATCTAAAATTTGGTAGGTCATAAAAGTTATAATGCAATCTTTTTTTGATGCAACAGAAAAATAAATAAATAAAAGTTAAATACTTCAACCCAACATTTGGTATTGACAAATCAGTAGTGTCAACTTCACATATGAAGGACAGCAGTCTGATCTTTAAAATATCTCCAATATGACATGTTACTTGGGCTAAAAATTTTAGAATATTAATTGTTTCTTTTTTGCTTAAAGGAATGCAATTTACTCACCATCAAGCTGCTACAGTAACTCGCTTTTAAATGGGTAAAGTGATCATTAGGTCCATGGCACAAGTTATATATGTCACACTTCTGCCAAACTGAAACCTTATAAGATTTCATGTTTATAAGCTACAATACATACTGACTAAGCTGTCAGTCCCTCAGTTTTTTAGAAAAATATCTACATTTGTCCTTGTAGATGTCAAAATGTTACACCATGATTTGTTGTTTTTTTTTTAAAAAAAGATGCACATTCATACTGTGAAGTTATTAGGAAAATACTCTTGCAAATAAACAATATAAAGATAAAATACACTTCAAAGGTATGTGGGGGTTTTTTGTTTGTTTTACAATATTCTATAAAGTGCAGAGAAATCCTAAGGGAAAAACTACTCCCTATAACATAGTTTAATTACAGCAGCTTTTGCATAGCAATACTTGGAGGAAGTTGGACACTTCCATTTCCTCAGGAAGAGAAGGATGGAAGAGGGTCTTCTGACTCAGATTTTTTTTTGGCCATAAGTCTGCTTTCTTCAGGAATGGTTGTTGATGCCAAATCTCCATTAAGTGTATTTCTTGAACAGTGAACAGGTCCTATTAAGAAATTGAGTAAAAGGTTAAAAAATATCCTATCAATGTTAACTCCAGTCCTCTGTGAAAGAACATTTTAAATTTGCCATTTAGAGACACACAAATTCCTTTAGCTTCCTATTAATTTTTTTATTGTTTAACAGAGAAAAAATCTAACTTTTCTACTGATCATAAGGAGAAACTTAAGAGTTCATGAGATAAACTATGAAACTATCTAAAGTAGAGACATTTCTTTTATTCTTTGCTAGAACCATGGTTGACACATAATGGGCAGTCAATAAACATTGGTTGAATTTGAATTATTCTTCTTAATTGATTATTGCTTTTTCAGCCTGGTCATTTTAATGCTGTATCTTCCTTGTTTTCTAAGGCAAAAAAACCAAGGCCCAAAAAAAGGTTACAAGCCTAACCTAAGATTACACAACTGGTAACAGAACTAGGACTAATTCAGAGCTTGCCCTTTCATCACAAGACACAAAAAATACGAAAGTCCCCATATTTCCATTTGGAATGCAACTCACAGAACTATCACTGCAGCTTTCAGTGAACACAGCTAAACACACTGGCATGGTCCTGTTCCAGGGCAGGTTCACATCTGTTTGTACACATTACTTCAATTTACCATGAACATTTGTTATTTTTATAATAATTTTAATCTAGTTAAAAAAAGTAGAAGCAGCTGTATTTCAAGAAAGAGAGTATTTTGGGATAAAAACCTTCAACAGAAACTGCCAGTCGAAAAACATGCACTTTCTAAGTAAGAGTATTAATTCAATCTCTGCTTGGTCAACTAAGACACTAAACTTTATGATAAACAGAAGGGAATCTAAGAATAAAACCTCTGACTTGGCCTATACTTGCCAATTTAAAACAGTTATAAAGAACTGAGGGTGTGTGTGTGTGTGTGTGTGAGTGTGTGTGTGAAGTTATAAAGAACTGAGGTGTGTGTGTGTGTAGTGTGTGTGTGTGTGTGTGTGTGTGTGTGTGTGTGTGTGTGTGTGTGTGTGTCTGACTAGTTTTGTTACACTCCTTTACAGCTAAATTGGTGAAAATTAAATGGAATAAGGTATGTACACTTACAGCTTATAAAAGTTATTTTCAAAATTCAGGACCAGAGTGCCTAAAAGAGAACTAAGGAAAATGACTGGCTTTAAAGAAATCAATTTACTATCACAAATGAAAATGATCCCCTTAGAGAGAAAGAGAAGAAGCAGGAGAATATACAAGGCAGCGTATAGAACTCTTTCACAAGCTCTGGATTAAAAAGGTTATCTATAAAAGGCAGAAAGAACAAAATAAATCAGGATGTATAGTACCTGCCACAAATAACATTTTTTCCCCATTCCTAACCTCTTTAATTCTCTTTCTCTTTTCCTTATCTCCTCCAAGTTGTACTAAATTGACCCAAGGAAGTTTCTTCTCCTTTCCCCTTCCCACCCTCATCCTTTCCTTCACTTTCTTTACCCAACATTCTAACTTAAATTCAACATGGCAGTGAACATAGAGTAGTGATCTATATCAATATTTATTATTATATTGACTACAATATTATTAGTCCTGTAAAAAAAATGCACATAAAGAAAGATCCATCAACTTCTAAGGATCTGAAAATGGCCAACAGTCCCTTCTGAACCTCCACCATCTTCATGAACTCTACATTCTTCTCTAGTTAAACCTATTTAACCTCTGTTAAGCAAAACAACTCTATCTTAATCAGTGTTTTCAATATATTCAACCATAGAAATCCAACACTATTTTGTCCCTTTTCATCCACACTATGAATTAGCTGGGCTCTTCTTAGGAATCTAAAGCATCTAACCACCACTTTTCATATTATCTCCATAATGGAAATAAAATCTGTGTTCTAAATAACTGACTTACAAATAAACTCCTGGGACAAAATCTATTCCTTAACTGGAAACTGTATGTAATTTCTATCACACATGCTTCATGGGCAATAGCAAAGACTCTGAAAAACAAGTCTGCTAATGGAGTTGCAATAATAAGATCATATTGTGTTCACTGGAAATTATGGTATTTTTGTCTAACTAGATATTCTGACTCACTTTCAAAGCTTCTTCTCTAAAGAGAAAAATAAACTTTAACATAAATTACCAAACCTTACCTGAAGTATTCAATCTTTAAATAATAAGGGGGAAAAGGTACAGGAAAAAATTCTATAATTCACTGCCACTACCAGAAAAAAATATTTCCCTCAGCCATTTCAAATTATTTTAGGAATAATGTTGATTTTTTTCCTTTAACTTAGAACTTGCCTTTACTTTCTCCTAGAATCCTGCCACAATTCATGCTTTCTTCTAAAATGGTTTTAATGCAAATGGACATGATTACTAAGGATTAATAAATACAGTGGGAGGAAAAGATTTTGATATTAAATTATCTATATAAGATATGGGATTTGCAAAGAGACACTCAGCACTTCTTAGTTAATAACAAAGGTGTCTGTAAGAGGACATATGAGCTTCTGTTGATTGTGCGCCATTTGTTTAGCTCTGAATTAAGGAATTAATCCAAGGACAAAGTACAGTATTCACTGTCAGTATCCTTCATTTCCATCAATTACCGAGCCCCACAATAATCTTGCTGAATAGGCCAAAGGAGACAGAGCCCAACTTACTATCTGAGTCTTCAGGAGGAATATCATTACAAGAGTCTGTGTCCGAGTAGGTTCTTCGGCGTCGCTGAGAAAGTCGGTGAAGTGTAGACACTGGTTCTTTTGTAGGATGGCTACTCCTGCAAATTAAATTAAAAGCATTAAATTCTAAGGTCTTAAACAAATAAAAACACCCCCAACCTAACTGGAATTTTAAATTACTTCTCTTTAAATCAAAGAGAAACTATTTCTGTGAAACAAGTTCTGTTTTAGCAACATTCTGCTACTTCCGGGGTTGGGCTACAAATAAGTAAAATCCTTTAGAATCCAGCTGGTAACCTGGATAGTAATATGGCCTCTAAGCCAAACTAAATGGAAAATGGGTACAGTGAAGAAGCAGCAGCTGCTTTTAGAGAGGAGCGTCCAGCTAGACAGTAAACTTATGAGATGGTTAAGCAAAAGGTTGAAAACCCAAGGTTATAGATTTTCCAAGTACATGTAGCTAATGTCAACCTATATCTGATCAAAAACAACAGTGAAAAAGCTGGGCAAGTAGGTTAGGAGTAAGCTAGAGGCCAACTCACTGCCGGCAGCAAGAGCAGACAGAGATGGCAAATGGAGGCTACAAAAAGTATTGTAAAAAATCGGAAAACTAAAAAAATCGATTTAAAACACTCAACACAGAAGCAAATCACCACCACTGAAGAGCACCTGGCTACCACTGTATGAAAGTCCAACATTACTGTTTTAATAACAACCTTGATTCATCAAGAAAAATAATACAGCTTTAAAATTTGTATTAATTAATAAGGTAGAAAAGATAAAATACAGTTCAGAAAATTTTCCATCATAAAATTAAGTTTGTCAAATGGATCAAGTTTCTAATTGGTAAAACTCTTCATTCCCTGATAGGAAGAGGAATATTTCTATGCCTAAAGTTTTATTTTAGCAACACTCTGCTCCTTCAGAGGTCTGGACACAAACAAGTAAAATCATTTAGAATCCAGCTGGTAACAATGGACTCCTTTTGAACACAAGATAGTTCAAAGATTCTATAATCATTGGGTGGGGTGGAGCAGACAAAATACTAATAAGGAATACCAATTATTCTTAATGTAGAGGAAAAAAATGCTAAAATCACCATAATTCCATCATTTTCCTAAATACCAAACAAAACACTCAGAGCAGCTTAGAAGAATATTACCTATGCCAAGATAAAGAACATTTTAATAGCCTGGGATATAGGTAATATCTATTTAGAAGGGGAATTTTTTAAATGTGTTGACATGAATATATACTTTAAGATATCAACTGGTTTTTACTCTCTTTTCAGTAAGAATCTTTAGCTCCTAATAAAACAATAGCTCAGCTCAACATGATTCTATGATGCTACCAAGAGCTATTGTAAAATAAGCCTAAGCTTTGGAGTCTTGATACATCAAAGATGGATTTCTATTAACCATCATTTGATATAATTTAAAACATCTGAAAAAGGTACAATGGCTGGCAAGGTGATTACCTTGCTGGTTATTCACTCATTTTTATCTTCACTGACTACCTATTGGGATTAGGCCCTATCATAACAACTAAGAAATATAATGCTGAGCAAATCAGAACCAGACTCTGCCCACAGAGTTTATATTCCACACCACTTAATGTTAAAGGTCTAAAGAATTTCCCAAGTAGTATATTTGACAGAACTTGGTCAAAAGAAAAGGTTATTTTACCTCTCTGAACTGCAAGAACCAGGGTGACTGACGGAACGCTTCATCTAGAAATTTAAAAATAAAATGAGCATATTCTTATGTCAAGTAGAAAAATACAGTTCTCATTTATTATTATTATTAACTTAAATTCACTCAAGAGGAAAAGACAGCTGGCCGATAAGTTTATTTTTTACAGACTCAAGTAACACTGTTAGTATGGTCAAGCTTTCTCCCTAATAACCATTAACTGGAATCTTAACATATACCGAAGACATGTTGGATTCTTTTCTCAATACTAAAAACCAACTTTTATAATATGTATATACACGTATACTATATGTAAGTATATATATGTGTATGTGTGTGCCAGTATATAAAAATATAAAAAAACAATATATATATAATTAGTCCAAAATCCACACTATTTAAAGGAATATGCAGCAAGCCAGAAAATATCCTAATCAATATCCCTTTTTTTTTTTAAAGGCCAGAATAGAGTCCAGTTGCAAAGCTTCTCTTTACCAGTCATTATTCAGGTGCCTGTCATGCAAATTTTCAAGTGTGGTTTTCAGGGAACATGGTATTAATAATTCAAGATTTTTACTCACTCAGAAGAATCCTAAGCCTCAAGTAGATTTCTAGAACACATACTTAAAAACTTTTTTTAAATCTGATTAAGCAGAGCATTAATAAATATGACAAATGCCAAACATAATTTAAACGATCCAAGTGCTCCACAAAATAAAAACAGAAAAAGGCCCTCAAGTAAAACAGATTATTTCAATGGTTAACAAGGTAGCAGAAAAGCAAAGTTTATATTAAAGGCCAAGATGGTTGCTTTATATACAGGCGCTCAAGAGTCTTATACCTCCAAGACTAACACTTGTGCTATGTAAATGCCTTCAGAATTTGTAACATTATCCACCAGTTCCTCTGAGAGATCCCAGTTGAAATGGTAACACATATGGGCCCACCCAACCTGCAGTCCAGGAACATCTAATATTACCAAAATTAAGATGCAATTGGACATTAATGTCTCCTTTAACTCTCAGATTTCAGTTTTGTTTTTCATTTACTCATTTAATTTTTTTAAATAGATTTTCCCATGAAGACTGCCTGACCTTTTCCATATACGTGGCCTTCAGAACTAATCACAATTTCTGCTTTATGTATTAAGTAAAACGCCATAGTGAGAAAAAATAAGTGGCCTCTAATCAGTATTTCCTATATTAACTTGATAGATTTCCTGTAATATTTCTACTGATAAAAGCTTTTGGTTTAAAAGAGATAGTTATTATAGTTTCTTATACATAAAATACATATATGGCCTCTCTGGACTATAGAGCATTTGTAACAGAAGACATTTTCCTCAGTTCAGTGCAAAAACAAGGCAGCTTTGAGGTGTTTTTATTGTATTTGACTTCATAAAGTTAAATACAGTAGTATTTGTAGTAAAGTCTATGCTGGCCACCTTAAAAGACAATATGACCCTTGTGTATCAACCTCATGAACATAACACTATACATCCATCTCAAGAGATTTTTTGTTGTTGTTCAACCACTGGTTATTTAATAGTTTATAACATATTTTAAAATGTTAGACATTAAAAAATAAAGTGTTCCATGCTGCACTGATGGACAGTGACTGCATTGGGGTATGGGTGAGGACTTGATAATATGGGTAAATGTAGTAACCACATTGTTTTTTCATGTGAAACCTTCATAAGAGTGTGTATCAATCATACCTTAATAAAAAATTTAAAATAAATAAATTTAAAAAGTGTTCAATTATCAAATAAATCTCAGCAACAAAGCACACTACCATCCTCAGAGATTCATGATATACTTTGGCATAAAAGAGGTTCTAAGAAGTACTATGACAGAAAAACCCAATTCATTTCAATTAACCTAGCACTCCCCAAAACTAATCTGGCCATAAAACTCATTTTTCATAGTATACCTGGGTCAAGGGGCACTATCACTTCATCATACACTGATTAGAAAACAATGACCTAAATTAATTTAGGTAATAATCTTGACTAAATCTCATCTAAATAACCTGCTGGGGTGGGTAAGAGAACCTAGGAATAAACTGTACCCTATTTGTTCCTTCTAAGTCCTCAGGTAATTGCTAAAACAGTAGCCAGGTAGCATTCTTTCTTTTACAAAAGGGCTCCTGAAAACACTTCAGGGAAAAAAATGTGAAGCCTCATCAAAACTTATCTCAGCCAGGAGTTCCCCACAGCACGTTAGAGCAGGTTTATTAGCTTGGAAACGACAATGAATCCACTAGCACCAGCCAAGAGTACTTGTTCAGAGTAATCAGAAAGCAAGAAACTAACATTAAGCACCTTGCATTAAACAGGTCAGATCCTTCACAATGACCCTCTTGCAATGACACAGAAGAAACCTTATTTTATAGATGAAGAAAATGAGGTCCACACAGAGTAAGTTAAACTTGCCTACTCACAGGGTTCAAACTGAAATGCTGAACAAAATACTCTTTCACCTGTAACATGTTGTTTCAAATCCCTTACAACTTCTTTAAAGATTTGCTTAGTTTTATCCTACTGAGGATAAAATATCTCCCCGTTGTGATGTTTTTACCAAGTACAACAACCTTTTTCATATCAGAGCACCCACAAAGCATCACAGTATTTTCCTGGAACACTAGGGTAAATGGCACAGTCCCACTGAGGGAAGGGGATCATGACACTGGACGCAGATTGAACCCCCAGTTTAAAGGCTCCAATACAGAATATGAATACACTCCCCCCAAAATTCAATGCTTACTATTCTTCTCTTACTGCCAGTTTAAACCCTTGAAAATAAATAAAACCATATGCAATATCACTGGGAGAAAAACAAGTCCCAACCATCTGAACAGGAGAGGGCGACACAGGAAAAACTAAGGCGTCCGGACGGGAGAGCTGAAACATCTCGGGTTTGAACTTGGCATTCGCTATCTTCACACATTCCTCCAGCGTTGTGATGAATGTATTACATGTGGCACTAAGCAGAGAAGAGGCTTCATTCATGTTCTGAAAAATTACACACAAAAAGAGTTGAGTAAACATAAATGACTGCGGAATCCTGCATTTTTATAATCAAGTAATGAAACACTGCCTCTGACAGACATCTTAGTAGGTTATATTCAAATCTATTTAAAATATACTAACTTAGAAAATTAAAGCAATCAATGAATAAAACTGACTTTCAGGTAATCAACATATGAAATTAGAATCCAAGAAAAAATAAGTTTTGTGTTTAAACCAAACATCATATTGAAAACTGTTCAAAATTTATCTTAGATAAACTTAACCTAAACAGTAGTTTTCTAAGTATCAGAATTTCAAAGGTGGTCACAGCAGGGGAATACTGCAAAATTCCTGTCTACTGAGACCCATTCTCGCCTTTCTCCCTTGGTAGAATGAAGACACCAGTCTTTTTTTTTAAGACAGAAAAGTGTTCTGACCCTAGGGGATGAATACAGACTGGTGTAAGCCAACCATGTCTATTCTATGACTCTTCGTCCAATATTAGTATTTCCTAGTTTCCTTTGACCCAGACAAAAAGATGGTAAGTCTGCTGGGGAGTTTCTGGGATTTCTGTTTCCTGATAAAAGCCAAGGACAGCAAGTTGAGATGGTCTCTTTCCATCCTGGCTATCCCACTGCCTCCTGGCTGTGCGGCTCTGGCAGTCACCTTGAAGTCCAAGCATGAGGAGAAAAACCCAACATACCAAGAATGGTAGAACGTGAAAGTGGAATAAGCCTGGGTCCCTGATACTGTCCCTGAGCTGCTGGAGAAAATGTGAGGGTACCTACCTCCACAGAGTTTGTGGTGAAACAGTTAGTGCCCTTAGGATTTAACGTACCTACCACTGTCATCTACCTCACACAAGCTTCCTTCTCAACGGGAGAAGGCCACAGCAGAGGTAGGAAGATTCCTTTTCTCATTTCTCCCAAGTTAGGCAAACAGAGTCTGGGAACCACGCTGGCCTTTCACCCTGAGAGCAGTAAGGCCCACTGGTCCTACTTTATCAGAAGAATGAACCTGTTTCATAGCTGCAATCTGAATTCTGCTACAAATTCATAGCCACAAATCTGAATTCGAATTCCCACACTATTGTGCTGAGAAGGCTTTTTTTTTAAGTTACTTAATAGAGCTAAATTATCAGTTCTCACTAGTTGAAGCTGGGACCTTATTATCAAAAGAAAGAACAGTTGCCCAGTGAATTCATGCAGTTAGCCTAAAGAACAAAGCCTGGAATGCTTCTCCCCCCACCCCCAACTCTCACCCAGCTTCCAAATTATCAGTTGGCTGCAAAGATAAGCCTTGATTCCTGGGGAAATGCTTTCCTGCTTTACTCAGACTGCAGAGATACAATCTAGAAGATCCTACAGATTTCCAGATAGTCTGTAGTAGTGAGAGCCCAGAACTGAAAATTATTCATTCTGAACATGCTTCTCTGCCACCTTCTGGGCAGATGCTCACCCACCAGAGCACCACACAACACCCAGACATGAAGGGATCCCCTCTGTTATACCTCTGTGCTGGGTGACGAATGATTCTCATCACGGTGAACAAATTCTTGGATTGTATGAACTTGCTGCATGAGGAGGTCACAGTAGAGGCGAAGTTCAGACATTTTGGTTTTCAGAGATTCACTGGTTTCACTAATTTCTGAAGAACAAAAACAAACATTCAATCAGGTCACTTTCATAGTCTGAGCAATACAACAAAATGGAGTCATTTAAAAAGGCAACAGATACAGTAGCATAAGACGTGTGAGACCTTGGAAATATGATACAAGAGCCCCAAGGGAACACCTTCTCTTTAGATCATTGAAAAAGAAAAAAAAGGGAGTCACATGTCTGACATGAAGTTTAAGTAGATTCATTTCCAGAGGCAGGGTGGTTGACCACTGGATGTTTTACACCAGATACTTGCATTCCATCAGTTATCTTTCATTTAAAAAGTACTTGCATTTCTCCTTTTATGAACTGGCTTTTCTTGTCCTTTATACATTTTTCTAGCTCTGATGTGTCATTTTTCCTTTAATAATACATAAATTGGTAATTCATATAAGATCTTACACATTAAAGGTAGCCACCTTTCATTTGTCCCATACATTGCAAATACTTTTTCAGATCTGTCAGTTCTCTTTCAGTTTTCCTTACTGTATGTTTTGACATATAGAAGTTTTAAAGTTTTTGTAGTTAAAAATATTATATATATTTATTTTCTTCTGTTCCTTTCATAACTTCATTTTCCCACTATACTGTTTTTAGAAATTTTTTATTAAGAACTCTTTAGTATCTCCAGACTAACCATCCAGCCATAGCCTCAGCCACTTACCAATACCCTCTAAACTAGAAGTGTAAGCTGCAGAGGAAGGAAGGAAAAAAACACCTTGTATGTCCCGGTGCTTCTCCACAGTCCCTGAGCCAGTGGCATTGCTCTGTGGCACTAGCCACAAAACCACTCTAGCCAGCGTGGACCCAACCAGATCTATCTGCCATTTGACCTAACTAAAATTAATTTCTATCCAAATTTAAGTCCATTCCCTCTTTTTTATTAATTGTAGTAAAATCTACATAAATAAATTTACCATTTAACCATTTTTAAGTGTATAGTTCAGTGACATGAAGTACATTCATACTGTCCTATAACCATCACCACCATCTCTAGAACTTTTTCATCTTCCCCAGCTGACTCTGTATCCATTAAAACTAACTGCCCATTTCCTCCTTCCCCAGCCCCCGTCAACCATCATTCTACTTTCCGTCTGCATGAATTTGATAACTCTAGGTATCCCAGATGAGTAGAATCGTATGGTATTTGTCCTCTTCTGACTGGTTTATTTTACTTAGCATAATATCTTTCAAGACTTGACCATATCATAGCATGTGTCAGAATTTCCTTTCTCTTAAAGGCTAATACTCCATTATATGTATAATACCATATTTGTTTATCTATTCCTCTGTCTATGGACATTAAGACTGTTTCCACCTTTTGGCTACTGTGAATATCCATTCCTTTTTATTCTAGCCTTAGCCATCTTCTAGCTATGATGTTCTTTCATATATTTGAAAATTGTTATAAATTCAATTCCTAGCCTTCATTTTCAATACTGATATTTAGTTGCTTTCACTAATTTAACTCCAAAATCAAAAAATATATAGAAAAATCAAAGAACTGCAATCTCACACTCCAGATATAAATATTATTTTCACATTATATCTGCACAGAGTTGAATACCATAAACTGTATGTTTGGCTTTTGATTTTTATTTAATCCTTTTGATCTGGCAATATATTTACATGGTAAAGTCAAAAGGTACCAAGGATTTATAGTGCAAAACGAGTCTCCTTCCCACAGATTCCCTTTCCTAAGGTAACAATTTGACTAATTTTTACATATCTTTCCTAAGATGGCCAATGAATGGATGTGTAATTGTGAATCCCGCTTCTTTAAATTATCATTTAACCTTGGGCATTTTCTCATATCAAACTGCCTTGTAAATATTTTACTGGTAACAATAAATCACCCTACAGTTCACCAAACCATTCCAAAAATTTAAACCTTTGCATTATTTACATTTTTTTTTTAGTATGATGAACACCTATGTAAATAAATCTTCTACATTTCTGATTATTTCTTTAGGATAGATTGTTAAAAGCAGACAGGACAATTTACATCTATGTTTAATACAATTTCCTCACCACAAGGGAAAAATTTATAGTTACCTTTTTCTTTTCTGGCCCTAGTATCACTCAAACAGGCTTTGGAGCTCCCCAGAGCAACCAGCCACCTCTGTCTCTCAGCTGCATTCACTGCCTTCATGTAGAAATGCTGCTCTCCTGGAATGATTAATTCCATTCTTGTGTTGTCTGCTGAATGGACTACGGTGATAAACACAGGGGAAATACAGTCATGGACTTAAGTAATTTGTGGAGAATCAAATCACTCTTACAAAGTATTAGATGTTTCAGACACCTAAAACAACAAATTATGATTCAAGATGTAGGCAACACCTCTCCCTAAGGGGCTATCAAGTGGAACCCTCAAAACCGCTGTTCTCACATAGGACCTGGCTGTCAGTGGCGCCAAACGCCCTGGTAGCAAATCAGAGAGAAAACAGCAACAAGTTCACTACTAAGAGTGAGAACTAAGAGTTCCCTCCCTTGAAGCCACCTGTAGTACCTTAAATACACATGCATTTTCCCACATAGCACACATTTTTTACTGATTTCTTTAAAAGCAGAGGCTATGTTTTGGTTTCCCACAAGCCTAGGATAGTGCCTGGTATATGGAAGCAGCACAGTCAATATGAACTGTGGCCACCTTCCATTAGAATAACAGTCCTCAACCAACAGGCATATTATAATCATGTGGAAAGCATGAGTACTTTGGAGCCTTCCTCTTTCCCTCTACCCTCCTTCTCCTTTCCTACACCACCCTCCTTCATACTCTGACAAAAGAGAGCTAATCACAGATTACACTGAGTCAATCCTAAATCTCTGCTGTGAAACTAAATTTGTGTTAATCTGTCATTAATCAACAGGTATTTTCTCAGCTCAGAGCAATGCTGGTAGAGGGGAAAATAGAACAGAAGAGAAAAAGGAGTCTTTGCTCTAATAAAGCTGACAATTTAAATGAGAAAACAAACTGACACACCAAAATAATGTAAACACCTAAATGTTGAACTCTGGTACAGAGACGTTGTGTGTAATTATAATTAGAGAAAGGTAAGATGCAGCAGGAAACAAAAAGGCTGCAGGAAGAATTTGACAACAGTAGGACTTAGTTAAGAGAAAAATGCACAAGAAAAGGCCTGATGAGGAAATAAACATAATAGGTACAGAGGATATCAGGAGACACGCCTAAACAGAACCTTGTGTTGTATTACAAAGTAATGTTATTCATGAATGGACAGGCTGAGTGGAGCCAAATTATGAGAGGCCCACAAAATCTGGCAGAAGTTCTAATTTAGATGCTTGATTAGTGAACTACTGACCAGATGCTCCTTGTACTGTGGCAAAGAGGCAGCGGCACAAAAGTTTTACTATCTTACTCTACTTATGCAGGCCATTCTTGGATGTAGATAGTGCAATATACAATCATCCCACAATCAATGATGGGTGCCGAAGATCTGTAGGCTAGGATAAAACTGCTGAAATCCCAAGGCTCCAAGAGTCAACTCTTTTTTTGCTATTTGTTAATACTACTGAAAGCACTGATAGCCACCCTAAAAAAAAAATCCTCTAATTTCTAATGTTGCTATAATATGAAACTAAAATAAGAGGACACATTTTTAAATATACCAGCACTGATGTATCAGTCAAGGGTTATCCCGGCCACAGCAGTCACCTGAGGAGGCAACAAACTTAGGAGCAATGCTCCCACAGTATCAAGTTCCTAGGGAAAATAGAACAGAATGCCTACACATAAAACTGCAAAACATTACTGAGAGAAATTAAAGATTGTATTGTAAGAATATACCATGTTAATAACTCAAAAGACTCAATATTGTATAGAATACAGTTCTACCCAAATTGACATATATTCAGTGTAATTTCAGTCAAAATTCCAACAGAGATTTGTGAAAATTTACAGATTCTAAAACGTGCAAGGAAATGCAAAGGGCCAATAACAGCCACAACAATACTGAAAAAGAACAAAGTTAGAAGACTTAAACTATCAAATATTAAGAAGAAGCATAAAGCTAAAGAAATTTAAATAGTGTGATACTAGATAAACAAGAATAGAAAAACAGACCCATGGAACACGAGAGTCCAGAAAAAGACCCAAACATACCTGGTCACTCACTCTGTGACAAAGATGTCCCTTCAGTGCAGTGGGCAAAAGGTTGCTCTTTTCAATAAATGGTGCTCGGTCAACTGGCTACCCATACGGGGAAAACAATTAATCTTGACCCCTACCTGATAGTACATATAAAAGTCAAGATTTAAGTGAATCACAGACCTAACATTAGACCTAAATATGCAACATAAAACAGTAAACCTTAAGAAGATAACAGATTTCTTAAGCTGGAGACAAGTTCTTACCAAAAAATTTTGAAAAATTGGACCTTATTGAAATTATGAACTTCTGTTCATCAAATAAAAGAAAATTATCAGAAAGAAAATCCAAACCACAGAGTGGGAGATGATATTTACCATACAAAGACTCACTGAGACTATACAAAGAACTCCTACAAATCTACATGAAAGATAGCTCAATTTATAACCTGGGCCAGAGACCTGAAAAGGGACTCCGAAAGAACAGGATATTCAAACAGCTAATAAATATCTGAAAAGATACTCATCATTAGTTATTGAAGAAATACAAGTTAAAACCACCACAAGAGACCACTCTGTACACTAGGCATATTCAAACCTTAAAACTGGTAATACTAAGTGTTGGCAAGAGTATAAAGCAACTGGAATCCTCATGCTCTGCTAGTTGAAGAATAAATTGGTACAACCACTTTGGTAAACAATTCAGCATTATCTGTGACAAAGATAATCCTTGATCAAACATCAGTCAGGCTCCGCTGAGCCACCTGCTCAACTTAAGGGTACTGCTAAATCAGTTTAGCATTCTCCACCCTCAATAACTGACCATCTTCAATATCTGACCAAATTCCTTTCCCCATCACCTTCCCCCAGGTAAAATCTTATCACCCTGACCTGCCTTCAGCAAGAATCCTGTTAGGTCATCTTAGACTGAATCCCCTTTTATTCCTGATGTTTCCTCTCAGTAATTTTCCATCCACCTTAATCTGCTCCTTGACTATAAAGTCCCACTTTCGTGTACTCGGACTTGAGCCCAATCTCTCTCCCTTACTTCAAAATCCCATTGCAGTAGTCACTGTACCTATGGTGATAGACCTGAATAAATTCTGCCTTTACTGTTTAAACAAGTGTCAGGATAATTTTCTCTTTAACATCTGTTAAAGATAAATGTGTGAATATTCAATGCCTCAACAATTGCACTCCACTTCTAGATGTATACTGAACAGAAATACACACATGTGATCAACAAAATAAATATATAGGAATGTTTGTGGCAACTTTACTTAAAACAGTCCTAAATAGAAAAAAAAACTTATCCATCAGTGGTAGGATGGATAATCAAATTGTGGAACAGTCACACACACTAGAAATAATACCAATCAATAAGAATGATTGAACTACTGTTACACAGAACTACATGAATGAATTTTACAAACACAATGCTGAGTGAAAGAAGCCAGGCACAAAAAAGAATACCAATATATTCTATTTATAAAATGTTCAAAAGTAGGCAATACATATCTATGGTGATATGCTGAGGAGACGATACTAATACCTGGGATGCTGATCATCTAGTTCTTGATCTGACTGGTGGTTACCAAGTGTATTCCCTTTGTAAACATTCCTCAAGCTTAACATTTAATATTTGTGCCCTTTTCTGTATGTTATTCTTTAATAAAATAATTACTTTAAACCAACAATAACACAAAAATGCTGTGACGGCTTGAAAACATTTTGGAACTGCCTTAGAATTCTGCCACTAAGTCTTTTATATATGTTTTCAAGGTTGGCAAATCTTGCATTTTGAATGCAGTTTGATTTCTGACTCTCACCAAAACTCATTCGGAATCAAATATGATGAATGAAATGGGATAATACCATCACTTTTTTTTTAAAATAAAAACTCATGCTTTGAATGTGCTCTTTTTGTGGGATTTATATGCTGATTAACAAAGCAATTTCAAAAGGGGATTCTGAAGTGTTATGCATAATGATGGTGCAGTGGAAAGTACATAGATGCCCAAAATGAGTACCTAGACAGCAAACACTAACTGGTATAGATTTCAGCATGTTTGCAAAAAACAAACAGCAAAATTACACCCCATGTATTTCAGGGAACATGCAGGGAACAGTACACAGGCTGAAGTGTTTCTGTATCTTACATAGTTGTGACTCCCTTCCAAAGAATAGTAGTAATTCTCTACTAAAGGGGGCATGTTATAATTACCTGGCAGGCATGTTCATTTTGAAGAAAGCTCACTGACCTACCCCAAGTTGAGAATCACTGCTGTAGAAAGAGCCCTAGTGGTAGCAAATCTTAAATGAAGGTGAAGAACCAGACTTGTAGCAAGCAGAAATTCTATTTTGTCTCCAAGGCTAAATCTAATAACTACCAAAAAATCACAAAAAACTAGCAATCCAGCCCTGGAAAATGTAACATAATGCATTAGCTATTGCTTTGGTTTAATCTAAATAAGAAAGTGTACAGGACAACAAGATTACTCTGGAATATTCAGTAGCTATGACAAAGAACTCACCATGTCACCTTCATGAAGGCTAAGTATTCAAGTTACAGAGACGAAAGGAGAAAGGCCTGTAGGAGTTTAATATTCACTCCACTAGCACTTCAGTTTTCCCTTCAATTCTCTTTGAAGAATTCAGTGTTTTCATTTTCATTTTGTTTGACCTCTCCTACTTACTTCCACCCACACACCCCCACCACACATACAAATTAATCAGCGGTCCATGAAACCTTCCTTGATGAAAGTTACAGAATGACCATATTGCCTTATTTCTCCCCTTTTGGAAGAAAAGAAAGACACCTCTATTAAGTTAGAAGAGCTTACCTCCCATTTAGCAAAGAAGTAGAGTTTATGACTCTGACTTAATATTTTATCAAAACACTACAGAGCTTGCCTTATCATCCTCACAGACCAGCTCCCAATCTTTACCTTTCTACAATGAGAACAAAAGAGAAACTTGCAGACCCAGTATGGACACTTAAGTGGCAGCCACAAGAAATTGTTTTTCAAGTACAAACTGGAAGACCAGTACTAGGATTTAGAATTTCAATTCAAAGTATATTAATAGAGGGAGAAATATAAAAATCTTATTTAACAATGCTGTGTCACTCCTAACTGCTAAGGAAATAAACGGTATTGGAAGATCCCTACTTGGTTAGAAATGTTTTTTCTCTCTTTTCAGAGTTTGCCGAAGAACCCTTTCCTTCCTTAACTTCAAATTCCTCTAATTCCATATATACACCTACCTTTAATTTCACAAACTGCCATCTTTATACTTCCTTTGCTCCCTTTGCAAACATCATCTTGTGAATCATAGTAGGACAAGATTCCATTATCCAAAACAAACCAGCGAGGCTGCCAACCTACAAAGATCATAACAGAAGATTAACAAGAAACTTTCATCACATACAAAACTATAACTTCAAAATTTGCCATCCATGTTATTTCTTGGCTCTAAAATAATGTTCTAACAATGAAATTTTTAATGGCCAAGCCCTGCCCAAAATGTTCTTACATCAATCTTCACTCTGTTGGGAGAGATTTCTGAAGAAATCTCTAGATCAGCATAAATATGGAGTATAATTTTTATTCTGTGGCAAACTTCTCATTGACAACCCATAAGACCCCAACCTCAATAATAGCCCTAAACAGGGCACAACATAACTGCCCCCTTTTCCTAAGAAGGAAAACAGAGTTGGGTTGTGATATAACGGAAAAAGCAACAGAAGACATGGGCTCTAGACCCGCCTCTGTACTCATTCTTTGGTTGGTAACCTGGGACAAACATTTTCATTTCAATAAATATCAAAATTTTGCCCGGTCTCCAAAATGAGCAGACTGAACAAGGTGACTTCTTAGATGCCACCAGTCTTCTAATTCTGCAATGTGACTTTCCCTGCGCTTATATAAAACACTGCCTGAGAAAACTCCCTTGCACACAGTGCTGAATGAACAAAAAGCTGCATATTCTGTAATGAGGGCATGCCTCCCTCCCTGCGCTGCTGCTGCACAGCTCCAGCAGAAATGCTAGAAACTGCAATCATTCATTTAATTAATATTTATTCAGTGACTAGAGTGGACAACTACCACAGACTTCGCTCCAAGGCAAAGCTGGGGATGAGGACAATGGTTTCCCTCAGAGCTCAGCTCCCACACTTGCAAGCCAAACTTGGTGTCCCTTGAAGCCTCATCAAGGATGCTGCTACCAGCTTACAACAGGTCACTCATCGATAACACAGTGACCATGTAGAAGCAGTGTAATTGCCCTTGTTCCTTCTGTGACTATTAAATCATGGTTTAGCCTGATCACTTTAGACATAACCTGCTATATTAATTCAGTTTTTCCAGGGCCAAACAGTACCAAGACAATAGCTAAGAGGCAAGCCATTCTTACACCTTGATACAGACCCAGAATTTAACCTCCCCAAAAGGCTTTACCGTAACACTTTTGAAATGGCAATGCTGAGTCATCATAAAAAGGTTAAATTTCACAGCAAGGAATGTCATAATACAGTTTCAAAAGATGGATATCCAAAATAATTAAAACATGTTTCAGACACTTGGAAAATTCTTTTTATGGGATACTATATTCCCTAATGAGGCCTAGCAATTTAAAATACAAATTCTCTTGGCACGTGAACTTTATCTTGTTCATCACTGCATTTCTAGCACCTAGAATGGTGCCTGGCATATAACAGGTGCTAAAAAAAAATGTGTTTCTCAAGTGATTGAATGAATAAACACCAGAAAACTGAGATATTGTGTGCTCTCCATGAGAAATCAGATAAGCAGTATGTCCATGAGAATATATTGCATTAAGCACACATAGAAATGATGAAAACATTATCTTCCCAAACACTAATTCACCTTGGCAAATTGTAAGCAGGGTGTCATAAAAATACACCCTTCTGCCCAATGTTCCAGTTGCATATAGGACAAATTGTGATTTTTTAAGTTTGCGTTACTGTGTTTCAATCTCTTTAAAACAGATGTTGAGCAAAATGATTTATTTAGAATTTGTAGTAACTTGAAAGGTGACCATGATTAAATACATTAAGACTGTTAATTATCTCTAAACAGCTTTATGAAGAAATATTTAATAAAAACAATCTCTAATTGATTCACACATTTATATAACAGAGAGCTATATCTGTGAAAAAGATTCATCAGTATTCCCTTTTTAAGATTCTTTTTTAAAAAACATATTCTCTTTATCTCAAACTACTAAATGTTCACTGAAGTCCTACTCTCTGCAAAGAATTCTCAAGGAACACTGTCATCAAACTGGATGTTTCCTTAAAGACCACTTAGTATCAACAGCTGCTCATCCTTCTGACCTAAGATGAACTAAAATTAATAATGAGCATGTTGTTGAGCCCAATTTAAATTTTAAAATGGAATTATTCCAAACAAAAGATTTCATTTCAGCAAGCTTCCACACTGCATACTAGCAGTTAACTTAAATGCTCGGCAAAGATTAAAACCCTAAGCACTTGTGGTTAATAGCTCAACCAGACGATGCTCAGTGCCACAGACAAGTCGGCCCCTAAAACCACATTTTGCTCCAGGAATAAATTATGACTCATCTCAGTAACTGCCCATTGCTTTGCTCTGGGCTATGCGTGTTTCCTCAGTACATTGTGCTTATGAACATTTGCAAGAGATTATCATTTGCATCTCAAAACATAGAAAACTGTCTTGAAATTATACAATATCTCAACTAAATGGTATAACTGTTCTCATAAATGCCCAAATAAAAAAGCTTAATAAAAAACATTTGCCTCTTTTAAATGTTTGCTGGTAAAATACATCATTTATAGAAACAAAATGTTTGACATTTTAGTGCAAACAAAGTAAAACATCCATGTATCATAAATGTTAAAGCATATGCTGCTTCAAATCTGGCTTGAGCAATTCTAATTAATCAAAAAAACAGGCAACTGTAGTTCAGTGTTTATGTCATAAAATGTTTACGTGCAAATTTTCTACAAGGTCAGGTAGACGTGAATTGAGTGTACCAAACAATTACTAATGGTTTCAATACTTTTGGCAGACTGAGTAAGTGGAAAGCAAGTCGAGGTTTGCCTATCATACTGAATCATGACATCTGCTTGCTATTTAATCTTACTTAAGTCCACACCCCTTCCTCTAATGTAGTGAGATCACAGAATTCTGGAGATGAAAACACCTTCAGGATAAACAATTTTATCACCCTGGCCTTATCACCCCGAGAATTTGAGAGAATAAGTGACTTGTCTTTATTGCTGGCTGATGGAAGAGACGGGACTTGCAACTCAGGTGTAAGACTCTTTTCTAAGCCGGAAAGAAAAGGTCCCTTCCCTGTTGGTCTCTCATTTCTACAGAAACACCTAGCTCATTGGAGTTCTTCCTTTAAACCCATTTCATGGGTGAAACTGATTTGCCTGCTCCAATTCTGTATGCCGCACCTTCTTCCACGATTTCTCACACACTTACCAGAATTCCAAAACACAAAGATATCTCATTGACAACCAATTGCTAAGAGAATATTACCCGGAGACAGCTTCCAAAATCACCCTTGCTACGCTCCAACAACTTTTTATCAAGAGAACTTGAAAAATAAACCGTATTGCTGAGGAAATTAAAAAGAAGTACAGGAAATATTTATTAAAATTAAATCTTGATCTTATAGGGTCCATTCCGGCCCTATACCTCTACAACTCAGTTAACAAAATGCTGAATTAAGTATGAATAAAGACAGAAATTGCAACACATGCTGAGTAATTGGGAATCATTTTGGAAGCTACAGGAGACACAGAGTATTACCACCACGAGCAAAGCAGTGGTCGGCGCGCTTCCCACCCTCAGGAAGGTGCGCAGTCGCGAACTGTCCGTGTGTAGGGCAGTTCCAACAACGGACACACAGCGGGATTAAACCCCTGGGGCACAATAGGGCCGACTCGCTCTGAGGGTCACCGCGGACCCGGCAGAGGAAGAGGGAACCCCTGACACGGCTTCCCCGCAGCCCTTCCCCTCTCCCCGCGGTCCCCTGCAGCACTCGAGCCCTCTGACCTGTGAGATAGTTGGTCCACTTGTACAGAACCCCCTCCATGCTTCAGAGTGTGTCGCCGCGCATCCTGGCCCGGCGCCGGCCGCGGTGATGGGGAAGGCGCGCGGCCTGGGCGGCCCCTGCCGGCACGCCCGGCCCCTCCCCGGCCGCTCCCCCCTCGCCCGGCAGCCAGCAGCCCTCGGCCGGCGCACGCCGCCGGGANCAAACTGACACACCAAAATAATGTAAACACCTAAATGTTGAACTCTGGTACAGAGACGTTGTGTGTAATTATAATTAGAGAAAGGTAAGATGCAGCAGGAAACAAAAAGGCTGCAGGAAGAATTTGACAACAGTAGGACTTAGTTAAGAGAAAAATGCACAAGAAAAGGCCTGATGAGGAAATAAACATAATAGGTACAGAGGATATCAGGAGACACGCCTAAACAGAACCTTGTGTTGTATTACAAAGTAATGTTATTCATGAATGGACAGGCTGAGTGGAGCCAAATTATGAGAGGCCCACAAAATCTGGCAGAAGTTCTAATTTAGATGCTTGATTAGTGAACTACTGACCAGATGCTCCTTGTACTGTGGCAAAGAGGCAGCGGCACAAAAGTTTTACTATCTTACTCTACTTATGCAGGCCATTCTTGGATGTAGATAGTGCAATATACAATCATCCCACAATCAATGATGGGTGCCGAAGATCTGTAGGCTAGGATAAAACTGCTGAAATCCCAAGGCTCCAAGAGTCAACTCTTTTTTTGCTATTTGTTAATACTACTGAAAGCACTGATAGCCACCCTAAAAAAAAAATCCTCTAATTTCTAATGTTGCTATAATATGAAACTAAAATAAGAGGACACATTTTTAAATATACCAGCACTGATGTATCAGTCAAGGGTTATCCCGGCCACAGCAGTCACCTGAGGAGGCAACAAACTTAGGAGCAATGCTCCCACAGTATCAAGTTCCTAGGGAAAATAGAACAGAATGCCTACACATAAAACTGCAAAACATTACTGAGAGAAATTAAAGATTGTATTGTAAGAATATACCATGTTAATAACTCAAAAGACTCAATATTGTATAGAATACAGTTCTACCCAAATTGACATATATTCAGTGTAATTTCAGTCAAAATTCCAACAGAGATTTGTGAAAATTTACAGATTCTAAAACGTGCAAGGAAATGCAAAGGGCCAATAACAGCCACAACAATACTGAAAAAGAACAAAGTTAGAAGACTTAAACTATCAAATATTAAGAAGAAGCATAAAGCTAAAGAAATTTAAATAGTGTGATACTAGATAAACAAGAATAGAAAAACAGACCCATGGAACACGAGAGTCCAGAAAAAGACCCAAACATACCTGGTCACTCACTCTGTGACAAAGATGTCCCTTCAGTGCAGTGGGCAAAAGGTTGCTCTTTTCAATAAATGGTGCTCGGTCAACTGGCTACCCATACGGGGAAAACAATTAATCTTGACCCCTACCTGATAGTACATATAAAAGTCAAGATTTAAGTGAATCACAGACCTAACATTAGACCTAAATATGCAACATAAAACAGTAAACCTTAAGAAGATAACAGATTTCTTAAGCTGGAGACAAGTTCTTACCAAAAAATTTTGAAAAATTGGACCTTATTGAAATTATGAACTTCTGTTCATCAAATAAAAGAAAATTATCAGAAAGAAAATCCAAACCACAGAGTGGGAGATGATATTTACCATACAAAGACTCACTGAGACTATACAAAGAACTCCTACAAATCTACATGAAAGATAGCTCAATTTATAACCTGGGCCAGAGACCTGAAAAGGGACTCCGAAAGAACAGGATATTCAAACAGCTAATAAATATCTGAAAAGATACTCATCATTAGTTATTGAAGAAATACAAGTTAAAACCACCACAAGAGACCACTCTGTACACTAGGCATATTCAAACCTTAAAACTGGTAATACTAAGTGTTGGCAAGAGTATAAAGCAACTGGAATCCTCATGCTCTGCTAGTTGAAGAATAAATTGGTACAACCACTTTGGTAAACAATTCAGCATTATCTGTGACAAAGATAATCCTTGATCAAACATCAGTCAGGCTCCGCTGAGCCACCTGCTCAACTTAAGGGTACTGCTAAATCAGTTTAGCATTCTCCACCCTCAATAACTGACCATCTTCAATATCTGACCAAATTCCTTTCCCCATCACCTTCCCCCAGGTAAAATCTTATCACCCTGACCTGCCTTCAGCAAGAATCCTGTTAGGTCATCTTAGACTGAATCCCCTTTTATTCCTGATGTTTCCTCTCAGTAATTTTCCATCCACCTTAATCTGCTCCTTGACTATAAAGTCCCACTTTCGTGTACTCGGACTTGAGCCCAATCTCTCTCCCTTACTTCAAAATCCCATTGCAGTAGTCACTGTACCTATGGTGATAGACCTGAATAAATTCTGCCTTTACTGTTTAAACAAGTGTCAGGATAATTTTCTCTTTAACATCTGTTAAAGATAAATGTGTGAATATTCAATGCCTCAACAATTGCACTCCACTTCTAGATGTATACTGAACAGAAATACACACATGTGATCAACAAAATAAATATATAGGAATGTTTGTGGCAACTTTACTTAAAACAGTCCTAAATAGAAAAAAAAACTTATCCATCAGTGGTAGGATGGATAATCAAATTGTGGAACAGTCACACACACTAGAAATAATACCAATCAATAAGAATGATTGAACTACTGTTACACAGAACTACATGAATGAATTTTACAAACACAATGCTGAGTGAAAGAAGCCAGGCACAAAAAAGAATACCAATATATTCTATTTATAAAATGTTCAAAAGTAGGCAATACATATCTATGGTGATATGCTGAGGAGACGATACTAATACCTGGGATGCTGATCATCTAGTTCTTGATCTGACTGGTGGTTACCAAGTGTATTCCCTTTGTAAACATTCCTCAAGCTTAACATTTAATATTTGTGCCCTTTTCTGTATGTTATTCTTTAATAAAATAATTACTTTAAACCAACAATAACACAAAAATGCTGTGACGGCTTGAAAACATTTTGGAACTGCCTTAGAATTCTGCCACTAAGTCTTTTATATATGTTTTCAAGGTTGGCAAATCTTGCATTTTGAATGCAGTTTGATTTCTGACTCTCACCAAAACTCATTCGGAATCAAATATGATGAATGAAATGGGATAATACCATCACTTTTTTTTTAAAATAAAAACTCATGCTTTGAATGTGCTCTTTTTGTGGGATTTATATGCTGATTAACAAAGCAATTTCAAAAGGGGATTCTGAAGTGTTATGCATAATGATGGTGCAGTGGAAAGTACATAGATGCCCAAAATGAGTACCTAGACAGCAAACACTAACTGGTATAGATTTCAGCATGTTTGCAAAAAACAAACAGCAAAATTACACCCCATGTATTTCAGGGAACATGCAGGGAACAGTACACAGGCTGAAGTGTTTCTGTATCTTACATAGTTGTGACTCCCTTCCAAAGAATAGTAGTAATTCTCTACTAAAGGGGGCATGTTATAATTACCTGGCAGGCATGTTCATTTTGAAGAAAGCTCACTGACCTACCCCAAGTTGAGAATCACTGCTGTAGAAAGAGCCCTAGTGGTAGCAAATCTTAAATGAAGGTGAAGAACCAGACTTGTAGCAAGCAGAAATTCTATTTTGTCTCCAAGGCTAAATCTAATAACTACCAAAAAATCACAAAAAACTAGCAATCCAGCCCTGGAAAATGTAACATAATGCATTAGCTATTGCTTTGGTTTAATCTAAATAAGAAAGTGTACAGGACAACAAGATTACTCTGGAATATTCAGTAGCTATGACAAAGAACTCACCATGTCACCTTCATGAAGGCTAAGTATTCAAGTTACAGAGACGAAAGGAGAAAGGCCTGTAGGAGTTTAATATTCACTCCACTAGCACTTCAGTTTTCCCTTCAATTCTCTTTGAAGAATTCAGTGTTTTCATTTTCATTTTGTTTGACCTCTCCTACTTACTTCCACCCACACACCCCCACCACACATACAAATTAATCAGCGGTCCATGAAACCTTCCTTGATGAAAGTTACAGAATGACCATATTGCCTTATTTCTCCCCTTTTGGAAGAAAAGAAAGACACCTCTATTAAGTTAGAAGAGCTTACCTCCCATTTAGCAAAGAAGTAGAGTTTATGACTCTGACTTAATATTTTATCAAAACACTACAGAGCTTGCCTTATCATCCTCACAGACCAGCTCCCAATCTTTACCTTTCTACAATGAGAACAAAAGAGAAACTTGCAGACCCAGTATGGACACTTAAGTGGCAGCCACAAGAAATTGTTTTTCAAGTACAAACTGGAAGACCAGTACTAGGATTTAGAATTTCAATTCAAAGTATATTAATAGAGGGAGAAATATAAAAATCTTATTTAACAATGCTGTGTCACTCCTAACTGCTAAGGAAATAAACGGTATTGGAAGATCCCTACTTGGTTAGAAATGTTTTTTCTCTCTTTTCAGAGTTTGCCGAAGAACCCTTTCCTTCCTTAACTTCAAATTCCTCTAATTCCATATATACACCTACCTTTAATTTCACAAACTGCCATCTTTATACTTCCTTTGCTCCCTTTGCAAACATCATCTTGTGAATCATAGTAGGACAAGATTCCATTATCCAAAACAAACCAGCGAGGCTGCCAACCTACAAAGATCATAACAGAAGATTAACAAGAAACTTTCATCACATACAAAACTATAACTTCAAAATTTGCCATCCATGTTATTTCTTGGCTCTAAAATAATGTTCTAACAATGAAATTTTTAATGGCCAAGCCCTGCCCAAAATGTTCTTACATCAATCTTCACTCTGTTGGGAGAGATTTCTGAAGAAATCTCTAGATCAGCATAAATATGGAGTATAATTTTTATTCTGTGGCAAACTTCTCATTGACAACCCATAAGACCCCAACCTCAATAATAGCCCTAAACAGGGCACAACATAACTGCCCCCTTTTCCTAAGAAGGAAAACAGAGTTGGGTTGTGATATAACGGAAAAAGCAACAGAAGACATGGGCTCTAGACCCGCCTCTGTACTCATTCTTTGGTTGGTAACCTGGGACAAACATTTTCATTTCAATAAATATCAAAATTTTGCCCGGTCTCCAAAATGAGCAGACTGAACAAGGTGACTTCTTAGATGCCACCAGTCTTCTAATTCTGCAATGTGACTTTCCCTGCGCTTATATAAAACACTGCCTGAGAAAACTCCCTTGCACACAGTGCTGAATGAACAAAAAGCTGCATATTCTGTAATGAGGGCATGCCTCCCTCCCTGCGCTGCTGCTGCACAGCTCCAGCAGAAATGCTAGAAACTGCAATCATTCATTTAATTAATATTTATTCAGTGACTAGAGTGGACAACTACCACAGACTTCGCTCCAAGGCAAAGCTGGGGATGAGGACAATGGTTTCCCTCAGAGCTCAGCTCCCACACTTGCAAGCCAAACTTGGTGTCCCTTGAAGCCTCATCAAGGATGCTGCTACCAGCTTACAACAGGTCACTCATCGATAACACAGTGACCATGTAGAAGCAGTGTAATTGCCCTTGTTCCTTCTGTGACTATTAAATCATGGTTTAGCCTGATCACTTTAGACATAACCTGCTATATTAATTCAGTTTTTCCAGGGCCAAACAGTACCAAGACAATAGCTAAGAGGCAAGCCATTCTTACACCTTGATACAGACCCAGAATTTAACCTCCCCAAAAGGCTTTACCGTAACACTTTTGAAATGGCAATGCTGAGTCATCATAAAAAGGTTAAATTTCACAGCAAGGAATGTCATAATACAGTTTCAAAAGATGGATATCCAAAATAATTAAAACATGTTTCAGACACTTGGAAAATTCTTTTTATGGGATACTATATTCCCTAATGAGGCCTAGCAATTTAAAATACAAATTCTCTTGGCACGTGAACTTTATCTTGTTCATCACTGCATTTCTAGCACCTAGAATGGTGCCTGGCATATAACAGGTGCTAAAAAAAAATGTGTTTCTCAAGTGATTGAATGAATAAACACCAGAAAACTGAGATATTGTGTGCTCTCCATGAGAAATCAGATAAGCAGTATGTCCATGAGAATATATTGCATTAAGCACACATAGAAATGATGAAAACATTATCTTCCCAAACACTAATTCACCTTGGCAAATTGTAAGCAGGGTGTCATAAAAATACACCCTTCTGCCCAATGTTCCAGTTGCATATAGGACAAATTGTGATTTTTTAAGTTTGCGTTACTGTGTTTCAATCTCTTTAAAACAGATGTTGAGCAAAATGATTTATTTAGAATTTGTAGTAACTTGAAAGGTGACCATGATTAAATACATTAAGACTGTTAATTATCTCTAAACAGCTTTATGAAGAAATATTTAATAAAAACAATCTCTAATTGATTCACACATTTATATAACAGAGAGCTATATCTGTGAAAAAGATTCATCAGTATTCCCTTTTTAAGATTCTTTTTTAAAAAACATATTCTCTTTATCTCAAACTACTAAATGTTCACTGAAGTCCTACTCTCTGCAAAGAATTCTCAAGGAACACTGTCATCAAACTGGATGTTTCCTTAAAGACCACTTAGTATCAACAGCTGCTCATCCTTCTGACCTAAGATGAACTAAAATTAATAATGAGCATGTTGTTGAGCCCAATTTAAATTTTAAAATGGAATTATTCCAAACAAAAGATTTCATTTCAGCAAGCTTCCACACTGCATACTAGCAGTTAACTTAAATGCTCGGCAAAGATTAAAACCCTAAGCACTTGTGGTTAATAGCTCAACCAGACGATGCTCAGTGCCACAGACAAGTCGGCCCCTAAAACCACATTTTGCTCCAGGAATAAATTATGACTCATCTCAGTAACTGCCCATTGCTTTGCTCTGGGCTATGCGTGTTTCCTCAGTACATTGTGCTTATGAACATTTGCAAGAGATTATCATTTGCATCTCAAAACATAGAAAACTGTCTTGAAATTATACAATATCTCAACTAAATGGTATAACTGTTCTCATAAATGCCCAAATAAAAAAGCTTAATAAAAAACATTTGCCTCTTTTAAATGTTTGCTGGTAAAATACATCATTTATAGAAACAAAATGTTTGACATTTTAGTGCAAACAAAGTAAAACATCCATGTATCATAAATGTTAAAGCATATGCTGCTTCAAATCTGGCTTGAGCAATTCTAATTAATCAAAAAAACAGGCAACTGTAGTTCAGTGTTTATGTCATAAAATGTTTACGTGCAAATTTTCTACAAGGTCAGGTAGACGTGAATTGAGTGTACCAAACAATTACTAATGGTTTCAATACTTTTGGCAGACTGAGTAAGTGGAAAGCAAGTCGAGGTTTGCCTATCATACTGAATCATGACATCTGCTTGCTATTTAATCTTACTTAAGTCCACACCCCTTCCTCTAATGTAGTGAGATCACAGAATTCTGGAGATGAAAACACCTTCAGGATAAACAATTTTATCACCCTGGCCTTATCACCCCGAGAATTTGAGAGAATAAGTGACTTGTCTTTATTGCTGGCTGATGGAAGAGACGGGACTTGCAACTCAGGTGTAAGACTCTTTTCTAAGCCGGAAAGAAAAGGTCCCTTCCCTGTTGGTCTCTCATTTCTACAGAAACACCTAGCTCATTGGAGTTCTTCCTTTAAACCCATTTCATGGGTGAAACTGATTTGCCTGCTCCAATTCTGTATGCCGCACCTTCTTCCACGATTTCTCACACACTTACCAGAATTCCAAAACACAAAGATATCTCATTGACAACCAATTGCTAAGAGAATATTACCCGGAGACAGCTTCCAAAATCACCCTTGCTACGCTCCAACAACTTTTTATCAAGAGAACTTGAAAAATAAACCGTATTGCTGAGGAAATTAAAAAGAAGTACAGGAAATATTTATTAAAATTAAATCTTGATCTTATAGGGTCCATTCCGGCCCTATACCTCTACAACTCAGTTAACAAAATGCTGAATTAAGTATGAATAAAGACAGAAATTGCAACACATGCTGAGTAATTGGGAATCATTTTGGAAGCTACAGGAGACACAGAGTATTACCACCACGAGCAAAGCAGTGGTCGGCGCGCTTCCCACCCTCAGGAAGGTGCGCAGTCGCGAACTGTCCGTGTGTAGGGCAGTTCCAACAACGGACACACAGCGGGATTAAACCCCTGGGGCACAATAGGGCCGACTCGCTCTGAGGGTCACCGCGGACCCGGCAGAGGAAGAGGGAACCCCTGACACGGCTTCCCCGCAGCCCTTCCCCTCTCCCCGCGGTCCCCTGCAGCACTCGAGCCCTCTGACCTGTGAGATAGTTGGTCCACTTGTACAGAACCCCCTCCATGCTTCAGAGTGTGTCGCCGCGCATCCTGGCCCGGCGCCGGCCGCGGTGATGGGGAAGGCGCGCGGCCTGGGCGGCCCCTGCCGGCACGCCCGGCCCCTCCCCGGCCGCTCCCCCCTCGCCCGGCAGCCAGCAGCCCTCGGCCGGCGCACGCCGCCGGGATGTGGCGGCCCTTAGAGGCCGGGATGGCCAACGCCGCTCGGAGCTGCGGGGCCGCGAGCCGCGGGCTCACGCATCCCCGAGCGATCCTCGGCGGCCACGAAGTCGGGACACGGGCCGGCTCCCACCCCCGGGCTGCTCCCTCCAGGCCCGGCGCTCCCACCCTCTCGCCTACCGTCCTCTCCCCAGGGCTCCCCGTTTGTTTTCATTGACCCCGACGTCGCTTTCACTTCCTGGATGAAAGGGGCCGGCGCGTCCCGGGAAACCCCTCCCCGGCGGCGGGGCTGGCGGAGCGGGCGCGGCCTGCGGCCCAGTCGAGGTGCTGGAGGCCACGCCGACGCCGGGCGCCGGTCTCCTCATCCTCCCTCGGGCCCTGGGCCGGCGGTCTGGGGGGCCCCGCTCTGCCCCAGGCCGCGGACGCCGGGACCGACCATCCCCCAGGGACCAAAGCCTCCGGGCCTGGAACGCGGGCGCAGCCCCCTGCGGACCCGAGGACAGCGTCCCGTGGGCAGTGATTAGGCCTCTCAGGTTTTCTTCTAAGACTCAGATCCTCCCAGTAGTTGTTTTTTAAGAAAATACGACTCCCTGTGTATGTTTCCTTCATGTTCTCCTCACATCCAGGGGGTTTGAGAAATTATCTCCTAAAATGGCAGTGTGCCAGCTGAAAGCCCTCTGGCAAGGTACCGCCAGGGACCCCAGGGGATTATCACGTGACCAATCAACCTTAGCCACAAAATCATCCAGAGTATGTTAACCTCAAAAATAAAACTCGGTTATTTTACCAGCAAAAATAGGAATAGCAGAGAATTGCAACCCTGGACACACAATCTATGACAAACACCAGCTTTTAAAAATATGTATATATACAGGCAGGTCCTGAGGCAAAGCGGAGGGATGCTCTTTTATGAAGGAAAGGGCAGACTTGGAAGGGGCTGTTACAAACAAAACTTCCCTTGGGGTAAACTTACAGTTCCAAGGATAGTGGGTTTCTCTCGCAAGTCCGGCGAAAGGAAATCCTGGGGCAAAATAACTCTAGAAACCAAAATCAGTCAAAGGGAGAAATAAAGTTTAAAACCCGTTTATTGCTCACAAACTGCAGTCCCAGGCTGTCTTACTTCTCTGCTCCAGCAGCACCCGCACCGGCCCTCCCCCTCTCCTACCAGGTACAGATAAGCCCTCTGTTGCCCAGGTAATCACCCATTGATATGGAGATGAACTTTTCCACCCCTGAGGAAAGATGCAAATGAACTGAAGCCACACTTCTCTCCACCTCTGAACGCCTGTTGATATGCAGATGTACCAAAGCCAGGTGAGATATTCTGGAAATACAACAATTTTACCCACACTCTTTAGCAGAGTAGTTACAGTCTCTCATTGGCTGGGCTGTTGCTGGGGGAAGAGGAAATTTTCCTTGCTCCTGTGAGGAGTAAAGTAGCTAAAGCTATGCACATGCCAGGTCCTCCTCTTCCTGTTAGAGCCCCCCACTGCTGGCTTCCTACGCCCAGTCTCTGAGGTTCGCCTTCAGCAATTTTCACCAAGATAAGCCAAAATCAATCAAAGGGAGAAATAAAGTGGGAGAAACTTGTTTATTGCTATCTTGTCAATAGGTTTCAGCCGCAGACAAGTTCACTATGGATTCAATATGACTAAAGAAATGACAGTAGAACGTTCTTGGGGTGAAAGGGTTATACCCAACTTTATTATTTCCATGGTGGCAGGTCAATCACTAAAATCTCATTCACTCAGAGCAAGTCTGCATGCAGCAAACCGGTCTCTGCCTCTGGGCCTCTCTGCACACACAGCCGTCCTCTGGGCCTCTGTCTTTGGTGTTGCCACCACTGAAGCCTCTGCTCTGCCCTCCTGCAGCCTTGCAGCTGTGCCACCTTGTCACCCAGAGCACTGCACAAGCTCTTTATATAGAGTCAATAACAACGTATTACCCACACATGTGTAGTGAGCTAGCCAACCAGGGCCAGGTGAGAATCCTGGCCACAGGAACTTTCATTTTATCAACACTCCACCCCTCCAGGATTCTCTCCTCTCAATCTGTGTGCCCTCAATCCTCTGCAATGGTCCCTGTGTGAGAAAGCTAGAGCATTGTAACCAAATTCCTTAATAACAACAGAGGCTATGATAATACACAAATAACAAAAATTACAACAAATTATAATAACCCTCAAGCCTGAGGAGATCCATTGCTACCAAGTGGTCATCCTGGCTGTATTCAAACCAGTTCTATTCAAAGGAGTTAACCAAAAGGACCATGAGTGGGCCTTACAATAACCACCTGATGAGGAAATACTCAGAAAGTTTTCAAATCCCTCCCCCTCTTGGTAGGTGTGGTGAGAAGCCAAGAAAGCCAAGGAAACAGGTTTCTATTGAGGCTTCAGAAACATAGAGGAATCGCAAAGTGCTTGGGTGCTTGGGATTGAAACAATGTAACAATGTACAGGCTTCCATGACTATGGAACAACTTGTTAATCATAGTCATGGAAACACATTAGTTTACAATACAGTATCCAGGTAACCTTTACAGAAATGGATTAAAATATAACTAGCATCCTGAATACACCTATAGTGACCTAACAGCTCCAACTGCAACAGTTGCTGGGTGCTGACTCCCCTCCTTAGCTTTGTAATAAATGTATAAAAGACGTGGCCCTGCTGTACTCAGGGCTCAGACCTTTGGAGATCACTCTCCTCTGAGACCACCAGCATAAAGAAAACCTCCCCCCTCCACCACCTCCATGTGCTGCTTAGTTCTTTCATCGGTGATCCAGTCCAGGTTTTCTGGTTTTCTGTAACATACTTTCTCCAGCCTCTCCAGCAAAAAATCTTGTTGACACACAGGACAATCTTGTTGCTTTATCTCTGCCTTCTGCTTCATCCTCAGCAGCCAGAACTGCTGCTCCAGTCTCAGTTGCCACAGCTCCAGTCCAGTTTCTTTCCGTCTGCTCCTGCCTCTTCAAACTGTCTTACCAATGGGTTTCAGCCCCAGGCAAGTTCACTATGGATTCAATGTAACCAAAGAAATTGACAGCAAAATGTTCTTTGGGGTGAAAGGGTTCATTACCCAGCTTGTTTTCCGGGGGTAGGTCGAGCACTAACATCTCTGCTTCTGCCCAGAGCAATGGGCCGAGCTCGCTATATAGTGTAATAATAGCTTATTGCCTAAGGGTGTGGAAGCCGCAGCCCAGCAACAGGCCAGTTACATCATCAGGTGGTTTAAGTTCAGTGAGGATCCTGGTCATAGGAACCCCAACTTCCCCACACTCCACCCCTCCAGGATTCTTGCCTTACAATCTACATGCTTCCAATCTTTTGCAATGGTCCCTGTGCAAGAAAGCTGGGGCACTGTAACCAGATTCCACAATAGCAACAGAGGATAACAAAATAGAGATATTAAAAATTAAGATACAGCAAGATTTTGATACAAAAATTATAGTAATCCTCAAGCGAGAGGAAGTTCCCAATCCACAAAGACTTTAGGGGTGATAGGACACATGTTTTAATGTCACCAACATAGGTAAATCTTGTCCATCACGTAGGATGCATGCAAGTGAGTGGTCCTGTGATAGGACTGTAGCAGGAAGGGGGTCCCTTCCAGGTCTAGAATACCATACTTTTACTCCTCCCTGTGGGGGTTACTGAAGGGTCTATATATAGTGCTACTGGAGGTGCATGCACTGGCCATAATGATAAAACAAAACTCCCTGGTATGATGCTCCTACCTTCTGGCAGTTCAGGATATATATACTACTGTAAACTTTGGCAGCCACTCTGCTGTTATTCCAGGAATGCACAGGAGGCCAGCTTCCAGGCCTTGTCCCCAAGGTGCCTGGAGAGCCACCCATCATTGGTCCATGTGTCAAAAGGTGCAAGGCCACATCCACTCAATGGAGTCTCCAGGGTTCAGTGCAGTTGGTGCTGGCAGCAAGATGTTATTATGGTGGCCAAACTTCGGCTTCAGAGGTTCTTCCTTGGTTTGTACTTGCAGTTGTATAGGGGAGGCAGCCATATGTGTTAACATGTCTATGGGGCTCAGAGCTCCTTTTCAGGGTCTCTCATTCAAATGCCGTAGCACGGTCCATAAGCGGACTGACCATCCCTGCAGACTATTGGTATCTGACTTTAGTCTGGATTTTAACAAGCCATTGTGCCTCTCTATCATGCCTGCGATGGTAGGATTGTATGTCACATGAAACTTCCACTTGATTCCCAGCTGTTGTACCCATTCTTGCAGTGTATGTCCAGTAAAATGGGTGCCCTGATCATTCTCAATCGTGGGCCATAGGCAGCAAAGAGATGCTCCAGGCCTCTTTTGGTCACCTACTGGTCTGCACAATAGGTAGGAAAAGCAACCAGAAGTCCAGTAGCTGTGCCCACACAAGTCATCACGTACCAATATCCTTCTGACACAGGTAGAGGCCCAATATAGTCTATCTGCTACCTGACGAGGGGTATAGGCCCCTTAGCTATTGTCCCATGTTGCTGTGGAACTCAGTGTAAGTCCCTTTTGGAGCACACAACACACTCCTGCCAGGCTCTACTAACTTCTTTGAAGGTCAAAGGCAAGCCCCACTGATGGGCTAAAGCCCACATTGTCTTTTTGCCCTGCATGCAACAAATGCTGATGTAACCATTGGGTTACATCAGAGGAAGGCTTTCCTTCTAACCAACATACCTGGGCCAACTTATCTGCCTCATCATTTCCTGGGGATGCCAGTGGCAAATGACCTGTCACATGGCATACTGTAATTATTTTAGTCTGACCACAGGCCCATAAGTCTTGCCATAATTCTTGTTCCCAAGGCGGTCGGTGACCAACCAGCCAGTTGGCATGGTACCAAGTTGGTAGCCACAGGGTCAAGCCCTGATAGATAGCCCAGCTGTCAGTGCAGACAACTATAGGGGAGGGTTCTTGGCTGATCACAAGCCACATAGCCCGCAACTCTGCCCATTGGCTGCTCTTCCCCTCACCATCTTCCATCCATATTGTCTCAGCCTTAGGATGGAAAGCTATGGCCCTCCATTTTGGGGGCTGACCACTGCTGAAGCTGTCTGTGTACCATGCATCTTCGGGCATAGGGGCTCTTCCCTCCCAGTAGGGACTCTCTGCTACTAATGGTTCAAAAGCAAGTTCTTCCTGCTTTTCACTAGTTTATGTCA